CTCTTGCAGGAAGAATGCTGGTCATTCATTCTTTGGAGTGGAAAAACTCCATGATTCAAACTGGACTTGGGTCTCATCCCCTTTATGAGCTTTAACCTCACCCTGTGTTGCTTTATCTCAGTGCTGCTGTTGGTCTAAATGTGCTGTCGATGCTAATTCCTTAGCAAGGATCTAAAAAGCTCAAACTTGAGTATACTTGTAGAGAAAACTACATTTGGCTGCTCCCTTGCCTTACACTCACTACACTAGGGAGATGTGCATGTTTGATCTGGCAGGGTTTTAACCCGCCTGACGCAACGCCAAAGGGGATTTGCGTCTACGCTGGAAACGAACTAAAGCTTTCCACCACCACACAGGAATAGGTTATCTTTACAGTTTCATAAACGGGCTTTTTACACACCCTCCTGATGTCCTGGTACCAGAGTTCAAACCTCAATCAAACTATTATCCTGCGCCACACCAAAAAATGAAAACACTGAAATAAGATGTGCTTAAATGTCAAGAAAACATTATTGTGAAACTGTTTCACAGGGGAAACAAACTTTGAGTATAACTAACATACTGTGAGTATGCAATATAGATGTATTTGGCAGAGTCTTGAAAGTGCCACGCTATCTAAAGCCTTCTGGAGAACAGGACTTCTGTTTGTCTTTCTGTTCTGCCTCCAAAGGAGAGCCTGGCTGCTGTTAGAAGTAAAGATAAACAGGGAGGATCGTAGATACTGAACATGTGGGCTCGGCTGTTTTCCCATTTATGTTTTATTCTTTTACAATAAATGTTTATGCCCTCTAAAATCCATCACTGACACGTCATGAATAAATTAATCTAGAGAATTATAATGTTAATTTGTGACACTCGTTTAATTTTTGTGTTTTTGTGTTGAAAAGAGTTTACCCCATGTATATTTCTCCAAAGATAGGATATTCTTGTGTTACTGCAGCCAAAAAATTAAGTACAGCTTATAATAAAGTAGAATACAGCAATAAAATATAAGAAAATTTGGGTAAAATATGCAAAAGAAGAAAGACTCTCAGTAAATAAAAATCTAAATAAAATGCAGTCACATGCTTTGTAAAATGTTGACTACATAAAGGATAAATAATAAAGGATCATTACATTTAATCTAATCTACATTTAAATTTGGTCATTCCAGCAAATGTCAGCATTAAAGAAGCTCAGTGTGATAGAGTGCAGGGTGAAAATACACTGAATGATGATATGAGAGAACAAGTAATTCTCTACTAGACAGATAAGATGGCTTATAAAGTTAGTGCGTGAGGTGATGACGGCGATCAGTATCTGTCCTCGAAACCGTCTGCCGCCTTGAGGCGACTTTTGTTGTGATTTGGCGCTATATAAATAAAATTGAATTGAATTGAATTGAATTGCCGGAGAAAGTAAGTAGTGCAGAGAGCGCGGGAGTAGATGGATAAGAGTTTGTAAGCGACCTCCTCTCCACCACAGCCAGAGTCATTTGGATGATATTATATTGATATTATATTATATATGATATTAGCCAGATTAATGGTAAAAAGCTTACTGTTGAATGTCTTTTCCCTGTGCAGCTGTTTGATAAAGGAGAACTGCTGGAGTGCATCAGGAAGCTGGTGGAGATCGACCAGGAGTGGGTCCCCTACTCCCAGGATGCCAGCCTCTATATCAGACCCACTTACATTGGAACAGAGGTGAGCTTTAATTTCACTAAAAGGCCTGTGCAGGTTCCACGTCAGCCAGGTTAATTAAATCAGGAGCTGCTTGAAATGTCCTTCTCCTCATTAACAGTCTCCTCTTGTCTTTCCTTACCTCACATCCAGCCGTCTCTTGGCGTGTCTCGTCCAGGAAAAGCTATGATCTTCGTCATCATCGGCCCAGTCGGGCCGTACTTTTCAACGGGGTCCTTCAACCCAGTGTCCCTGCTGGCAGACCCTGCGTTTGTGAGAGCTTGGAAAGGAGGTGTTGGGGCCTACAAGATGGGAGGGTAAGTTTTTACCCTTAAGTGTGCATTTGGTGTCTGTCTTGCTGAGATTATGAGTCGATTTTGTGCATAAAAAGAACAATTCAACACAATTGAGTTTGAAGGAC